CACACACACACACACACACACACACACACACACACACACACACACACCCTCAATTGCCCATGGATTCCTCCAAGCTCAGGAACAGGTCTTTGGGCAAAGCTAATCTTAACTCTGAGTTCCTTCTCCTTGCCTAGGCAGTTGTCCTTTCACATCTGTCACTTTGCTCCTCCATCCAGTGTGCTCAATCTTCCTGGGCTCACAGCCCCTTTGAGGATCTAATGGAAATTGTAGATCCTCTTCCAAAGAAATGCAGATAGCACATTCAGTTTTTTGTTCATTTGTGGGGGCATATAGGCTCCCTGAGACCAGTTCTGAATCCTGTAGGGCCTAAAGTCACACTTGGGGATGCACTACATAATTGCCAGTGGCATTTTTAAAAAATTAGGTCAGAAGTTATGGATGTTGCCCAAACACAACCTTCTAAATCTTGCTTTTCCTGGATTCCCTCCTTAAGCAACCTTCTAAATCTTGCTTTTCCTGGATTCCCTCTTTAAGCATTTCCAGCACCCAAACTGGAAACTCAGGAGGTATTTCTGGCTTTCTGTGTATGATTCTTTTGCTACAACAGTACTTTTCACTCTCTTTGTGGCAAACACAGTGCTAGTTCCTGGAGTGCAAAGGCAAACAAGGCCTACCAAATCCTTCTGATGTTTCATAGGAAACCTGTCCGTACCCTTTAACATGATTTACTGTCTTCATAGTCTCTTTCCAACCTAATCTCTCCACTTTCCATGTACTTTTTACTGTAGCCTGGAGGTATGTACTTGCTTTTCTCCATGCCTTTGCTCACACTCTCCCCGGTGCTTATTATCACCACTTCTTTTTTTTTTTTAATTTTTTATTGTTATGTTAATCACCATATATTACATCATTAGTTTTTGATGCAGTGTTCCATGATTCATTGTTTGTTCATAACACCCAGTGCTCCATGCAGAACGTGCCCTCCTCAATACCCATCACCAGGCTAACCCATCCCCCTACCCCCCTCCCCTCTAGAACCCTCAGTTTGTTTTTCAGAGTCCATCATCTCTCGTGGTTCGTCTCCCCCTCTGACATACTCCCCTTTTCTTCCTCTCCTGTTATCTTCTTCTTTTTCTTTTTTCTTAAAATATGTTGCGTTATTTGTTTCAGAAGTACAGATCTGTGATTCAACAGTCTTGCACAATTCACAGCGCTCACTGTAGCACATACCCTCCCCAATGTCTATCACCCAGCCACCCCATCCCTCCCACCCCCAACCACTCCAGTAACACTCAGTTTGTTTCCTGAGATTAAGAATTCCTCATATCAGTGAGGTCATATGATACATGTCTTTCTCTGATTGACTTATTTCACTCACCACTTCTTATCCATCTCCTGCCTCTTTGCCTAGCTTTAGATTTCTTTTAAGGTTTCATTCAAGTCTCATCTTTGGGAGCCCTCTGATTGCCCTTTAGCAAGTATGTATTTAGAAGTATGGAAGAGCATATGGTATGTTTCCACTTTATGCTTTAAAGTGAAAAAAATGGATTCATAATTGTGTATATAGTACAGTTCTCATATAATGTTTCATATACTATGTACTGTTAAAAAGTAATTGATAAATTGCCTGAAGGAAATATAAGAAAATGTTGTAAATGGTTAAATGATATATTCACAGCCATACAAATGGTAAATTGCAGAACTTAGGTTCAAACCCGGTCCTATAGATTATAGAATTATGGGTGATTAAAAGTCATTTTTTTCTTTTTAAGTAATTTCCACATTTTCTATAAGGAACAAGAATTTTATAATCAGGAAAAAAGAATTATATTTACATACTTAGTTTTATTGTATTAACTATAAACAGTATTTTAATTCTGTATTTTAAGATGTGGGATATACCCTGCCATTTCTTTCTCCTTCCCTATCCACCTCTCTGCCTCTGACAGTGTCAAGTCTGAATCTTGAACTCTATTCTGTAACCATACTTAGTCTTTTATGCTTTATTGATTTGTTCTAAAAATTGAAAATAAACAGCATGAATGTTGTTATGACCATGTAAATATTGCAGATCTAAGTAGCTTACTATGATTACACACACACACACACACACACTCACACTCACACACTCACTCACTGAATTTTGTTTTTATTGGAGTTTTTAGTTGCCTTTCTTTTCCCCTTGTACGGGTTGCCTTTAGCACACTGAGTGATTTTCAGATTCTCCATCCAATTAGATAACTCTGTTGAGTCCGCTTTTTTCTCTTTAAGAGATCTCTAGCTTCCTGCACTGGTCTGTCCTTGATGTTTTCCTGCCCACTGTTTTGTTGTTATACAGGATTTCATTGTGTCCTGAACTGTACATGTTGCTCTTTTTTCATTAACTCCTTAATTTCACTGCAGCACATCTTCAAGTCACTTGCCAAGAAAGAGTATATGGGAGACAAAATTATTGAGGATTTATATATCACAAAATATCTTTCTCTGTTCTCAAGCTTGATTGGTACTTTGACTGGCTTTGAAATTCTACATTGAAAAATTTCCCCAGAATTTGTAGATGCCTGGTTCCAATCTGATTCTTTTTTTTTTTTAAGGTTTTATATATTTATTTGTCAGAGAGCACAATGGGGAGCAGCAGGCAGAGGGAGAAGCAGGCTGAGCAAGGAGCCTGACGTGGGACTTGATCCCAGGACACTGGGATCATGACCTGAGCTGAAGGCAGCTGCTTAACCAACTGAGCTACCCAGGCATCCTTCCAGTATGATTCTTATTTCTTTGACAGTCAGTAAATACTACTTGCATTACTGTAATCTGTTCCCATACCCCCATGCCTGGAAGCTTTTAAAGTCTCCTCTTTCTTCTTGGTGCAATCAATTCCCCAGTGTACTCAGTGGAATTTTTCAATCTAGTGACTCAAGTTACTTTTATTCTTGGAAATTTTCTTGTGTTATGTGATAATTCCCCCTTTCCATATTTTTTTTCTGTTTTTACTCTTTTTGGAATTCCTGTCAATCAAATGTTGAACCTTGTGGATTGATCCTCAACTACATTCTGTGTTATTACCATGTCCTTGTTTTGTGCTATTTTCAGGGAGAATACCTTCGTTATTTTTCAATCTGTCTAGTGAATTTCTTATTTTGGCAATAATTTCTAAAAAGCCTTTTTTCCCTGTTTGTTCCTTTTTTGTAGTATACTATTCTAATTTTAGAGATACCTTTTCTTAAAGGTTTCTCTGTCACCTGATAACTCACCCCTTCATGCCCTTGCCCCTGGGTTCTTTTTTCTCTTTGTTTACTCTCATTGGAGACTTTCCTCAAATATATTGTGATTCTTACTGACATATACAAATAAATCTGTGTGTGTATCAAAAGTCCAGTTGAGACCTCTGTGTGTGGGAGTGGGATTTGCTCAGTCAAGAGGCTTCCTTCTAGAGTACTCGGTAGGGAGCAAGCTCTTTCCCTGGAAACTAAGTGCTAGAATGATAAGATCTTTTGTCTGGGGCTCATATGCTTCTTTAGCAGGAAATCCTCTGATGTTTTTGTCTGGGGCTTGGATGCCATAAGTGCTTCTGTAGGAGTGGGAGAGAAGAAAATCAAGTGTTATTATAGACTTTTGGTTAATGCCCTCATTTTTAGCCTCACTTTTCCCTCCCACCCTTAATGTACCTGGGGTTTCCAAGTCCCAAGTTGCTTTGGGATTTGGCAGGGTATGTTAGCTACCTCCTTCCGTTGTATTGCCCTCAGCAAGTGTTCCAAGCTGTACTCCCTCCATGCAACTTTCTCAGTTACCACTTCATCCATTTTCCATCTTACAGAGATTTGTTCCCCTTATCACATTATTATTTATACATTTTAAGTCATTGTAATTCATTATGTTTTATAAAAAGGAAAACATCAGTCACGGGTTGTTTTCCTTTTTTTTTTATTAAACAGTAACACTGGCAAGTACACAAATCACTGTCAAAATATTCATTTTTAGGATAGCTAAGTCAAAGCATATCAACATTGTTTTTTTAAATGTTTTAACTTCCCCTAAATTTAGTAGCAGAATAAGGGACTGGAGAATAAAGAGACCAGTTACCAAGAACCTAGTGGTAGACAGTTCAGTCAGGGAATATATGTAACCGCACTGATTGTGACTTATAGTTGTGGCTGGAGTGTGGAGGCTAGGCCGTGAGGGGAGAAAGGAATCCTGGAGCCATACAGATAGCTTTTGTCAGACTACAAGGGAGATTT